CACACACACACACACACACACACACACACACACACACATACTTATTTACAGGTACTTTATATGTATCTCCTCTATTTCTCTCCTCTATCATCAGTATTTTGTTCACATTATCACTAGACTTATTTCGATCACTGTAATTGAACATTAATTACATTGTATTTGGCTATCTCTTCATGTTTCTGATCTATGTATTTTGAACTCATTAATTTTCCATTTTTCCATTGTTGGCTCCACTGGTCTTCAATGGTAATTAGTCCAAGACTCGATGCCAGGCACATAGCGATGTGGGGCGTATTGCACGTAGGGATTGCTCACATGGGAGTGATTCATCTGAGTGTGATGAGAATGGTGAGGGCCTGATATGTACTGGACCGGGGGTAGTGGAGGCTGGAGCTCGTGGTATCGTATCATATCGTGTTGTCGGTCTTCCCAGGATAACTCGGAGATCGTTGGCTCACTGCAGTGTCTTTTGCTGGGTCTCTCGGCGTCGTCGTCGTATCTGTATAGATAACAAGAAGCGAAAATTATTCAGACTTCATTTTAAAGAGTTATTAGTAACTTCAGTATTGAATCGAATGCAGTGGCAGTAGTTGTTGTGGAGGGTTCGCACTGGGGGACCCAGGCTCGACTCCTAACTTGGGGACCAAATGTTGTGGCACTCTAAATCTCACGATCTCACGGGAGTCGAAAAATTTGGTCGTAAGTCAATTCAGTGAGTTGCCGGTTTTTGATCTGGGTATGCAACTTTTAGGCCAAAAACCGACTTGGTCTTAGAGATGTGCGGGTAGTAAGTAGTCGTGACTTTTAATCCGTTATTTCTCAAACTCGAAAGTAAGGAGTATCGAGATGGCAAAGTATTTGGTATTTTTTGTAAATTTCTATCTTAGCCGCCTGAAACAAAACAATGTTCGAATGATGATGTTCCTCAATGCAAACTCCCAGTTCATCCTCTAAAAGCGCCAAAGAATGTGACAGAAGATTCTCCAACTGATATAAAATATTTTGACCCTTGTGACCCCTATTTGGATCCTCATTATAACCTTCGTGACCCTTATTTTGACCCTGGTGACCCTTAATTTCTGACCCTTGGTTTTTGTCCGCCATGCCCCTTATTTCGATCCTTGTGACCCTTATTTGGACCCTTATTCTGACCCTCGGGACCCTTATTCCAACCCTTATTCGCACTCTTGTAACTCCTAATCTGAACCTTGTGACCCTTAGGCTGACCCTCGTGACCTTTATTCTGACCTTCATTATAAGCCTCGTGACCCTTATTTTGATCCTTCTGACCCTTCATTTCTGACCTTTAATTCTGGAGTCTTAATTTCGAGTGCCAAATTTTCATCACCAGAAGTTGATTTATTTTTTGGTAAAGCTGAATAATCGGAAAATTGAATAAAAATAGGGAAGTTGAATAAGAATTGCCAATTCAAAAAAGACTAATAACACATGAAGAAACAGTTACATGGCTTCTGCCAAATAGAAGTTCTACCCTACTTGTTTATAATACAGAGAGATATTAGTTCGTGTGAAATGTAGATCTTACCGAGTCACCGATCCCCACGATGGTGAAGAATTATTAGAATTCATATTCTGGTACTGATGAACAGATAACGTATGACATGGAAGATACTGATCCAGCTCACTGCTTTCAACTTCACACTCTTGGAGACTCAATGGAATATTGAGATTAACACCTCCAAGTGCCCCTAGGCTGCTCATTGGTCCATCCTCCACCTGGATCTGCTCATTGCCTTCGATATATCTATTGAAATCAACACTGCCATGGTGCTGAGAAGAGTCGGACACCGATGACGCCGATAAATCCTGGTGGTACAGGATGTTTTGCTGATGCTGATGCGCCTGAAATATTAAATCACTGATTGATTGAAAGAATCCCAAATTGGACCACACGTGATCTCTCTGATTGACGTTGCAACCTCGAGTGGGATCTGCTTAATGCCTCACCTGATTGATAAAGTGGTGCCCTCGAGGCGTTGTCGGCGGCGTTGGAGGCGACAAGCCCTGATTCGGCGTCGTGGGAGGTGAAGAACTTACTCGGCTCTGAGGTGAAGTGGGTCCTTGGATACCGCGTGGACTCAGGTCTTCTTGCTTCAGTGAATTTGAAACGCTGAAGGCCACATTACTCTGATTTCGCGCTGGCGAATTATCAGGACCAGATGATGGCCCATTCTGCTTCCTGCGCCGTGGCTGATACTTGTAGTCCGGGTGTTCGCGTTTGTGAGCCACACGAAGTTTGTCAGCCTCCTCAATGAATGGTTTCTTGTCGTTATCCGATAATAATCTGAGTGAAATTCACAGTTTTGTCAATATATGGATCATTAATTAGAAGGTTAAACTTTTATAATTTCCAAAAATTTCACGTGAAGTTGGAGAAAATGAAAACAACATTCATCTAACTGTCATTTTGCGACGTTTCGCTGATTATTTTAGCTTCATCAGGCAGAAATAACAATGGAAATGAACCAAGACAGACTATAATCAAAAGGGATTTTATAATTTGTCTATTTTATGAAAGAAATTGTTGGGAGTTGATTATTTTTCATCGGGCTCATGTAAAAATATAAGATCTACTCGTGTGATGAACAATTTTTCAATTCAAATACGTAATCAGTCTTCAATATCCTCGAGTAGCGCGTGAAACAGAGACCAAGGAGAGGGTTACACGTCTGGTTAATGTATCTCGAAAGCGTTAAGTCTTAAGGGCATCCAGAACCCACAGTGTCTACTTGAAGCCGCAAAGAGTGACGTGGTTCACTTGCACTCTGCGCCTTTTACGCCGTGTTTATGTTCCCACTGGCCCCTACTTGCCACTATCCGATAAGCTTTTCCGGTATTATGAAGGAGAGAGCAGTGGAAAAAACGCGATGGAAGAACAGTGCCATCGTCATTTTCTCTGGACCCTCGTCCGTTTGGATTTTATCAATAACTTGATCAAATTTTATTGTTGTTTACTATGTTTGTTCAATATTTGCAGTGGGAAAATGCGCGGCTTCAAGGGAGGATTATTTACCTGATGGTAACAGGTATCTCAAGATTATTTGGCGAGGGATTATTGAGCTCTACGGAGTTCCGAAAGTAAAAGAAAAATTCGTTTCATTTGAAGTTGAAGAGGCCGCAGAGAACTCGAAAAAGCGAGACCATCTGGTCAATGGACTTTGAGTTGAGACTTTTTTTGCTCCTCTCGACTGGTGAGAGACCTTCGATAGCGGCCACATTTCTTTCTGCGCCAGATGATCCATGTCGCGAGGGTCAACTAATTTTGATCATATTTGTAGGTATCAGATGTGACTAGTTGATGTTAAAGTTCAGATAAATCTCCGCAATTATGCACGGAGAGAAATATTGAATAAAAATTACGGATCTTTTTCGTAATTTTGGAGCGAAATGTGGTTGTAGGAAATTTTACGGAACTGCATGGAGAGAAATATTCAGTAAAAATTACGGAACAATTCACGTAATCCGGAAGGGGGAATCGTTTTCCGGCAATTTTTGTAGGAATGGAAGAGAAGAAATCTGAAACGTTCAGTGAATTTTCAGGTTCATCACCGAACAAAGTACGAAATTGTCACGTAATTTTTCCCGGTGAAGTAAAATTTTACAGAAAATTGCCGACTTATTGTGCCTCCAAAATAAAAAATTCTTGAACGTTCAACAATTTTTATGATGTTGGTGAGTTACTTCTACGTTCCGTTCCGTAAAATTTCTCAATCGCTGGGGAAAAATTACGGAACGACTCGTCGTCCCCACAGCGGTGAGTCATCAGACGGGTGGGTAATTTTTACGAAACAAATCGTAGAATTTACGTGGCAATTTGTACAATTTCAGTTCCGACTCACACTTTTTATTGAATTTTACTTCATTCGCAGATTACGTTTCGAAACGTAATTTTTAGGTTGTTTTTCTGGTAATCTTTATTGAATTTTTCTCTCTGTGTGTCACGGAATTTTTCCAGAGCGTTCCGTAATTTTTACCTGAATCTCCTGTGAAAAATTACGATACCGTCACTCAAATTTTCTGAGTCGATTCCGTAATCGGTGAGCGAATTGTGAGTTCCGTAATTTTTACTGGACATTTCTCTCCGTGTGTGGAAAATTAGTCAAAATTGTTCGAGTGAATTTCGAGGAGTTTTGGTGGGCGCTACCTGTTGCTTAAGTGAGTTATTTGCTATTTTTCCCTCCCCTGTTAGTGCTGGGGTGATGAAGTAAGGGGGAGGGGGTATGCCTGGAAAAATTCACCTGACAAGGACAAGGAGCTTATTGTGGTATGATTGTGGGTCTTATCAATGTGACAACTCGTAACGGGCAGCTGCGCGCACGCGCCGAGAGTGAACCGATGGTATATCTGTTTCTTCATGGCAAACAGGGAATAGTATCAACGGGAGATATATCGCTCTGGGGTGAGAGATTCAGGGAAAGAGGAGACTGAAAAAATGAATAAAAATCGGAAAAATCTTTCGTACGTAAATATTGGACAAAAAATACGTGGAACGTAGCCGGAGAGAGGCACATCCTTTATTAGGAATGTCCATGAGAGGAGACGAGGGGAGATTTCGCAGTCTCGTCTCGGTCTCGTTAATATTCAAAATTCTTGGTATCGTCTCGGTCTCGCTGCAGTATTGTTTCAACTCGGTCTCGTCTCGTTTCGATCTCGCCTGAGTCTTGAGAATTGAAGTTTAGTCTCGGCTCGTCTCGTTCAATTGAGAAAAAAGAAACATTCTGTCAAGTCTGACTTTAAAACCCATAGATTGCAACCAACGCGATGACCGAAAAATTTCCAAGTCTCACCGAGACTCTTGTTCGTCTCGGTATCATCTCGAAAATTCTGAACGTGATATCGTCTCGGTATCAGTTCATAAAACCGAGACGATAGGAATCGAGACCGAGACTCGTCTCAGTTTCGTGGGCAGTCCTATCCTTCATTGAGATGGTAACACGCGATGAGTCAGCCTATATCATTTCGATAATTACGGACTTGTCTCGGACGTGAGTAATTTTTTATAGGAAATTCTTTCAGATGAGAAAAAGGTTTTTTCCACTAAGTCCGATAGATCGCGATTATACCCTCGCGGAAATAAATTCTCTTGAATTAGCCTAACAAATTTGTAGATTACGGCAATTTCATAAAAATTTGGAAATAACAAATCCTGTTTAATTTAACATATGAAAGGCTTAATTCAAAAATCGTCTCTATTGCAGGGAACAACATTCAATTCCCTTATTAATGTAATCACCTCCTAGATAGAAATTTTCTATCAATTAATGAAAACAGAAAATTTCTCGCCAGAAGACTAATTTAGTGAATTACGGATTTGTCTCGAACTTGTCTCGAACTCTCGATTTGTCTAGGTCCGATAGATCGCGATTATAAACTAATAGATTTTCTTGAATTAGCATAACAAATTCATAGATTACGGCAATTTCATAAAAATTTGGAAATCACGAATTCTGTTTAATTTAACAAAACATTAATTCAAAAATCGTCTCTATTGGAGGGAACAACACTCAATTTACATATTAATGTAATCGTCTTCTAGGTTTAAATTTTCTATCAATGCATGAAAGTAGAAAATTTCAGGTCAGAAGGCCAATTTACGCAAAAAAAAATTGGAACATCCGTATATTTGCGATAAATAGATTTGAATTAACTACGAGTATTTTTTTGCTTCAACAAAATAAATTTATCTGAAAAAGAAAAGAAGGATATTCGCCCTAAAATGTTATTAAACAGAAATTTTCTATTCATCTTCATAAAATTTAATTTTTCTATTCCTGTGAAATCTACATTCAGAAAAATAGCACAGGGTAAAAAATCTCAGTACTTTGAAGCATTTTTGTATTTTCGGATGATTTTTCAAATAAATCAAATACTGTGAAATCCTGAAATTTATATTCAGTGAGTTGTTCATCGACTTCACTAAAATACCTTTCGTGTTTTACTCGAGAGCGCTAATTGGCGCTTAGGCGCATTTCGAGAGGTGTTAAATTATTACACAGGAGCCAACTCGAGGTATTTTCTCTTGTTTCGCGTTTCGCCTTGATATCTCCTGCCCGTGGAGATGAAACCTATTGACATTTAATTTCAGTTGGCCGCAGTGAAGATTACGATTGGAAATTGTGATTTATCAAGATTGGTAAGGTCTGATTTTGTATTTTTTCACCAATTGTAATCGTACTCATATCGATTGGGACGATCGATCGATCTGATTGAGGGAAGATGGGATCGTGAAACGATACACAGCGGGTTGTCCCGTCGGCGGGTCCTATGATGTCCAATGGGGCTTCTCGTTAGTCTCAGGAAATGAAATCATCCTGTTTTCAGCTCAACACTCGGAACAATCTCTAGTCCCTTGGCATACTCCCATTCATTTCTCCATTCAAATTCTTTCTCAATTTTTTCGCAACTTTTGTTCAAAGTAATGTGAAAACTTGATTAGCTGTCACTGATCAATCGGTTCAAAGGTAAATAATTAATATTCAATCACACAGAAAAAAAGCTTCTAGTTTCCAGTAAAAGTCTCTGCATTTCATAATTCTATCAGAACTCTCTGCACTGAGAAGAGAAAGTTTTTTGAGAAGTACATCTTTATTTGTATCATGAAACTCATGGCTCGACAATTGAGAAGAAAAAAATATCTTACACTGAGAAAAAAGGAACTTTCGTTAAGAGATTTTCTACTTGTCCAAAAGATTAGGGACAATGAGATCATATCAAGAAAGCGATTTCTTGGACAAAATCAAGTGTCCTGGATCAAATATCCTGCAAAATCGTGGATTTTCCTTTATTTTAAGAAAATTTCTCCGAAAAATCGGAGAAAACTGGTCTCAAATTAAGAATATTGTGGTTTTTGAATTATTGATATTCCTGTTCAAAAAGTCATTCATTTATAAATATATAGGCGAAAACTACTGATCGTTTGGAATTTTCTTCGTTCGAAAACGCAAAGGTTTTTGTACTAAATTTGTAAATTTAATGGTTTTTTATTTATGAACCAAACGGCTTTTGATTGAAAAATGCAACGGGTCTTCATTTAAGAATTTTTTGAATTATAGGAATTTTCCTTTCGACATTGAATAATAAGTTTTTTATTCTCTGTGGGATGGCTTCTAGAATTATTCGAAAAATTAGAAAATTTTACTCTCTATGCCATTACACGGAAAGCAAAGTTATCCGACAGGAGACAAAGTATGGTAATAATAGTGGAGCGAAATGTTTGTCAATAAAAAATACTTTTTGTGAAGGATGTCTTATGATTCATTGAGTGCAAAGATGACATCTGTGAATAGAAAAATTACAGTTCCCGGTAGCGTAAAATCGTCTGCACCTGTAGAATAGTTTTCCTGACACCGATGGGACTGACATGGAAATAGACGAAGGTGAAAATTTACCGTACAGTATTTGTTAAAAATTACCCTTCTCCGTTACAGAAAAATTTCAGGACATTTCGCATAAATTCTACAATTCCAGAATAAATTACCCTGAAACTCAATACATTTTTGGGAACAAGCAGAGAAAAATTCACCGTTAGTTTAGCATTTTTTTTTCGATATCAAGTCAAAAAGACCGACACTGTTAGAAAATTACTCCTGAAATTTCAGTTAAAAAATCTTGAAATTTTTAACAATCACTTATTCTTAATCACTTATTGTTATTGAAAAATCAGTTGAATTCTGGAGTATTGCAATGGAATTGCAATTTTCAGGTCCACATGATAATGACAATTAGTAAATAATTTGAAAATTCAAACAACAATTTTCCTGAATTTTCAATCCCCTGAAAATTCAGTTGGATGTGATGGCCAATTTCCGCAATGGATTTGAAAATTTGAGATGTTATCAGTGATAATCTAACCTTAAAAACCCATTTATCCTGAATTTCCAACCTGACTGAGAGATTCCATGAAAGATTTGATCTTAAATTGAATTCCAATTCATTTATCTTAAATTCAATTGAAAAATTCCTTGAATTTAAAAATTCATTGAGATTTGCTTTACGATTACTTGATTTGTTTGGTAATTTTTCCCCAAATTTTTTCTCCGTGTACAATGGAATTCGACTGGTAAGCCAAGAAACACACATCGAGGAGAGAAATGACAGAATGAACGTCATTACAAGTGGTCAAGTTTTTAAAGTTTTTGCTGGGCCGACTGGCGAACATGGGGGCTCTGCAATTGCGCGTAAGAAGATTCGAGAGAAGATGGTTTCTCAACTTTGCGCTCGAGAGGGCTCAACCAGCCACAGCGACTCTTTTTCTGTTCTGTGTGAGAAATCGCGATATTTATCTGATTCGAATAAGTCTAAGGGGCTCTGATCGAAGACACGTGCATCACAGAATCATCGTCCGTCTTTATTTCACTGAGATTGCTGAGGTTTGTGAGAATTCGATGTTGTGAATTCAAGTTTGATCAGAGAAAAAAGTAGCAAATGGCGAAATTAAACTCACCTCCACAATTTTCCCAATGTTTTAGACAATTCGGCATTGTGCAATTGAGGATATTGATCCGCTAATCTTCGTCTCGCTGCCTGTGCCCATACCATGAACGCATTCATCGGCCTCTTTACGTGAGTTGCTCGTTTGTCTCCTGTACCTCTGCAAGAAAATAATTGATGTAAACGATTAGTTCCATAACATACATTCTGAAAGTGAAAATATATCCAGTAATCGAACCACTTGACGTATGCATCGTACGGAAAATTATAAATTAAGTGCACGGAGAAAAAAGTTGTAGAGAAATGATCAAACAAGTCAAGTAATCGTGGAGCGGAATTCATTTCTAGGTCTTTTTCACCCTATATTGGGCCAAAAAGAGACAAATACTGAATCGGGAAAACTTACTGAACGTGACAGTAAATTTTACCGAACTGTAAAATCTACGGTTTATTCCATCAAAAATTATTCCATGAACGGGAATAATTGATCAATATTGCGTAATCTTTCACATACACGGAAAAAAATATACCTGAATTGAGTATAAAATATACTTGAATCAAGAATAAAACAAGTGGGAAATTGCCTTTTGAATTGTATATAGTATAGTTATTTTTGCTAATAAATTAGCAAAATGCATCCGAATGGTTATTTTGCGCACAATTTCCTTCTATTATGCATAATTCATTGTTTATTTCATTCTATTAAATTCAATAAGATTTCCTTTTGCCTAATTTTGTCACATTTTCAACTTCGTTGAATGTTATCAGCATCATTATTCTTATTATCCCTTTCCTTCTACACAACCGATTGTCATTTTTCTGTTCTATCTCTCCCCTCAGCCCTTCGATAAAATGGTAATAGAAAAATTTTATTCACACATACTTGAATGAATTTGAAACATTCCATTTGAAGAAACCTTCTGAAAGTTCACTTTTAGGGAAATACATGAAAAATTCTAAATTTTCAACAATCATCATAAAAATGAAATCAACCAATATAGCTATCGGAATCATCTTTCAACTGCCCCTTAATGGCTTTAAAGCAAACATTTTAAGCTATGATGGAATTTATTTGAAGTATGATATTCAAAAGTATCTCCGAAATTCTAATTTTCAATGACGAAATTCCCTGAAATTTCAGGCAAAATTTTTTCGCAGTGTAATAAAAGACATTCTTTACAAAAACCTTTTTTCTTTACAGTGAAGTGATTCCAGTCACTTCAATACTGAATGATCCATTTCTCGATCGTCATGGTACAGAGGAAGTTTATTCCCCGAAAAAGTTTCAAATTTGAGGACACCATAAAAACAATTCTCCAATGCTTTTGCTCTCACTAGAACAGGGCGCGCGCTTTGCGCGCGTATTGTTTTCCATGGGGGCCAGAATAGTAAAACCTTACCGTTTCTCACTTTCATTAATTTTTAATTTAATTTAATTTAATTTTTAATTAATCTAAAAAATAATGAATAATGCAGGAAAATGGAATGGTTTCAATAAAGTTTTTCAAAATGAGAATTTAATGATTGAATAATTTATTCGGCATCGTTATAATCCTCTTCATCTTCTTCTTCGTTTCTCTTTTGCTTTTTACGTTCTTTTTTATTTTTAGGGATGTATTATGTACTGTAAACATATATACTATCCTAAATATATTTTTTTTACAGAATTATTACTTTTTTTACAGTTGAAAAAATTACAGTATAAAACATGTATAATATATCTAGTATATACTATATAATATATATATATATATATATATACTATACATGTATGCCTTTTTTTCTTACAGAACTGTATTCTATTTTTTAAATGTTGAAAACATTACAGTACATAAAAAAATATATATAAACGTCATATTACATTACTTGATAAGCGGAATAGAGGCTTCAAAAATCGTTACACTGGATTTTTTAAAAGTGGATTTTCTAAGGAGCAAAGAGGGTGACTCGCTGTGAATTATAACCGGATCGTGGCGTATCGGATTTTGAGGGAACGTGGCAGCTCCTCGAAAGGGCCTTAAAATAACATCACTCTTTTCTCTCCATACGTAGTCCTTTCATTCTAAGAAGATGACTTCATAAAACTTTCAAGTCTATCCACTCAAACTCACGTAATTTTTTGTTCTCTCTTCGAGACAAACCATCGGCGACTCTTGTAAATTCGATCGGAATTTTGGAACTGAAATTAATGGCTTGATAGAGAGACACCGTCAGGTATGCTGATGATGATGTGTGTAGAATGAAGCAAAAGAAAAGAGGCAGTTGCATCAAACGGATGCAACTCGGCTTTTTTGGCCGATCTGGCAGTGTTAAATCCATTGGCAAACCGTGGTGCCGCTGGTAATTAGCGTGGGCTCACTAACGAGGTCCTTCACGCGGCTCGGACGACGCGTCTCTCGCTGACATCTCCTCTTACCCAAATATGATATGCAAAAAGACATTCCAACTATTTTTCCCTCGTTTCATTATCGTCACACGAGTCATTCGCACTGCACGGAAGATTTTTTTCATCGCACTGTCCGTAAAACGTCATTTTACGGACATTATGAAGAAAAATTATATTCATCAATCGGCTGAAACTACTTTTCTGACTCGTGTGATTGCATTCATTAGCTTCGATTCATTGAGTTTCGACTCACACTCGTCGAAAACCCCAGTGGTACTCGACGCGAAATATATTATTCGTCTCAAATGTCCGGTACACTTTTTGGAAATTTTTATCGAATTTAATTAGCTCTGAAATTTCAAGGAATTGACAATTCAAAATTTCGTGGAAAAATCAAAGAGAACTATAAATTTCCGTTCCATTTCTCCCTGAAAATGAATAGAAAACCAGAAAATTCCAGTAAATATATTCTGGAATTTTCAGGATAGTGATACTAAGTGCGATTTTGGGGGAAAAAATAATGAAATTTGAAATTTCACTGAAAATTCCATGTCATTCGATACTGACTACTCATATTAGATTGGAAATTCAAATAAATTAAGGAATTCTCGTCTTCATGCAGCTTAAAATTCTGGAATTTTACTGAATTATCAGTGAAACCTGAAATTTCATGATTTTTCCCCCTAAATCGCATTCACTGTCACTGTCCTGAAAATTAGTAGTCAACTGTCCACGAAATTTCTTTTTTTTTAACAGTGCGGCCGAACTGTGCCGTTTTCGTTTACAAGTAAACGAAAAGACTTTTCATTTACTTTTCGGTTACGAGTAAACGAAAAGACACTTTTCAGCACGAATTGAACGCAGCACCAGTGTCAAAATAGTATATTTCGTAACGAGTGCAAAAAAAGTGTTTTTTGGCGAGTGGGAGGTTTATATCACGAGCTGAAGGCGAGTGATATAATCCCACGAGCTAAAAAACATTTTTTCACGAGTTACGAACAATATTTTGCATCGCAATGTGGCGGAAATTGGACTTTTAGGCACGCGGAGCGTGCCGAAAAGTTCACTTTTCGTCACAGCGTGATGAAAAATATTGTTCGACACTCCTATCGAAATATACTATTTTCGGTCTTGTGACGAAAATAGCTATTTATTAACGTTACGAACTGATGGAAGAGAACGATTATTGAGGATTTTATCAGCGATAGGGTAATCTGTAATAGGGGGATGAGTGTACCCTTTCCTTTAGTTTCCTGATAACCTTCGGCCGGAGGGTTGAATGAGTCTGATAAGAACATATCGGACACATCGTTGCATCCAGCTCTGATTTCATGAGTTTTACGGTATTTAAATGAACGTCCATTCTTCGAAACTATCTCCCAGATAATTTATAGTGCTTATAAAATTTAATGGGAATGAATTTAATGGTCAATTAGAAATTTAATTTTTACGATGAAAAGATTAATTCTGTCTTCAGAAAACTATTACGATAAATTTGAAAAATATACAGTTGAATTATCTCCGTATGCTTTGAGAGGCTACATAATTTTTTTTAAGGATAATGAATAATGTTGCCACGCCTTTTATCAGCCACTTTGCATGCTAACCTCCACGCGCAAACAAACTCAACGACGATCGGGTATTAATTAGCTAATTGGCGTTAATTGGTAACCGAGGACATTTTTCCACGGGCGTTTCCCAGGCCAGGGAAACGAGTGCGTCATAATTGAGTTAGCGACGCGCACATTTATACATTTGTGTTATTTTTTTTTCTTTTCCGACGTAAACTTCCTACTCCACGCATTTCAACAGGTTTCACACCTTTCAATTCAATTCCCTTCAATTCACAGATTAAAAATGTTGGCAGTTGAAGAGGAAAAAAAATCAACAGAGGAGAAAAGCTCAGTAGCTTAAAAGCCGTATTCAAGGGCTAGTACATTGTTAAAGATTTTCGCCTGAATTTTCCGTGCCAAATCCTGGAAATTTTCATCCTGTTTAGTTTCCACTGAAATTTCAGGAAATATTGTCATTGAAAAATCAAATATTTCTATTAATGTTCGGTTCAAATGATCTAAAAATCTATAAAATACGTGATTTTTCAGTTAAATTATTCCGTGAAAATTCAGAAAAATCTGGAAAATTCAGGGAAAAGTTGAAAATTCATGTCATTTTACTTATGAATATTCATGTTCCAGTAAAAATTCAATGAAGTTGTGAAAATACATCTCATTCCCACTGAAAATTCATGAATTTCTTTGAATTCTATCTAAAACTTGAAATTTCATAAGAATTTACCCCTAAATCCGATTCAATGTCAGTCTCATGAGCAGTACTATCATTATTCTCCATGAAATTTCAAAAAAATTCAAAAAATGTACATTGGATTATTGTACAAGAATACAAATTTCGTTTTCGACGAATGTAAGGTTTACAGAACGCGTCGAAGGCGAGGGGATATAAAGCCTCTTCACTGAGAGAAAAATCTGAAGTTCGATTTACAATAAGAAAATAGTTGAGGCATTTTGGTGAACGATACGATTTTTTTTTTATGCGGCACATAACATTATAGTAACTTCACAAGCGTAATTTTTTCAAATCAAAATGCAGTTAAACTAACTAAAGTTCAAAAGTAACCACGACAAATCTATCGTGACGAGAGCTATAAAATAGTTGCAATGACTACATTCCATTGTAATTACTTCTCCGGCCATAGTTACCGTAACCCATGAAAAATTGTTGAGGACTTTTTGACTATAATTCGATGGTGATGGAACATAGTCAGAAGAATTATATTTTTCTCTCAGTGTTATTTCTTATCTTTGAGTAGGGGAGAGCGGGCAGAATGAAACTGCGTTTGACGTGTATTGCCCAGTTCCATATTGTCTCGTTCTTCCCTTTTCAATTTCACTTTTGTAATATGCAGTATTGCAATGTGTAACTTTGTCATTTTGATAAATGAGATACGTACTTGGTAGCAACAGGTACTAATGTCCAGTCGTAGCTCTGAAGAACTTTCGCGACGGCAGCGCTGATCCCCTCGCCATCATTCGCCTCAATGTTGCTCGGTGAATTAATATTGTTTCCACCATTCTTCATTGTGTTATTGTTATTGTTAATGCCAGTGCCAGTGATACCCGGAGCTAATAATCCTGAAGACTCACCCATAATGTCATTCATCTTCCTCTCACAATTTCACGGTTTAATTCAGCCTCAAACTTGGTAACACAAATTTGTAAAATCAGTGGAATTGTTCTAACTAGCTATTGTCATTGCACTTGAGGGAACTGAGACCGACTTTTCCCCCCAGTATCTTTGTTTCTTATTATCTGTATAATAAATGAGCAACAATTCTTATCTTCTCCCTCATTCACTGGGAAAAATTGCGGGCGAGGCTGTGCACTTGGAGGAGAGCTGTCAGAATTAAAGAGACGAGCAAACACTGAATCCACAGATTTTCACTGAATCAACAGGTGATTGTCATAAAAAGTACCGAAAAAGTAACAAAATCCACTGGGTTTTCATAATACTCAGCGCTTCAGATAATCATTCCTGGTGATGAGAATTTTGGATGTTAATTTGATTCTCAATGATTAATGATTTGGATGAACTGTAGCGGGAATTGCACGAGGGTAATTGGGGGAAATAAAAATGCCAACTAAAATGTCAAAATGCGGGTGGAACGATGTTTACTCAAAGCGATTCGTGCCGGAGCGCGATCGGAGCTGGAGTGAGGTGGTTGGATTGCCTCGGGGCAGTTTCCACCACGCGTTCTCAGTTTTTGGAGTAGACGTAGGGAGGCGGGGCGTATACGGAGCGACACTTGTTGCTTGTGGCTGGGTAATATACGACGCAGAGCGAGGAGAAATGCACAGGCAGCAAAAACCTCAATGCACGGGTGGTTCCACCACAATAGCACGTTTTAGGATACCCAAGTACTTTGGGTATTTTTTCTCCAATGAAATGTTTTTCTACGTTTGTAGTCGAACATCAGAGCTTTCATTTGAGCCCCATTTGCCCCCAAGTTTCCGGACATTTTACAATGATTTTGTTATTTAAACTTGGCAGGTCTGAATTTCAATCTCGATATTGAACCGTAGAAAACATTTTACAAATCTGAAAAAAATTGAAAAGTTTACTTTTGGGGAAAGATTGATGAAATAATTGAAAAATTGTAATTTTTGAAAATTAGGAGCATTTTCTATAAGTAATTTGTAAACAATCAAGTTTCCACCATAAAAATTATTTGCTCGGAATCGTAACAAATTTATTCATATTCAGAATTTTACCAGAAATCTATTTCACGCAAAAAAAAATGTTTCCGTAAGTTTAAATAATTTCAATTATCTGCTCATAAACAACGAATGTTTAAAAAAAATAATAATTCCATGCGAAATGTAATTTGAATGACGCTGAATATTCATGATTTTTTTCACATTTTTCTCACGCAATTTAATTGACAAATTTGATGATTGCTAATAAAAAAAAAATTTGATGATTGAAAATCAGAAATCCCCCATGAAATGATCAAAAATAAAAGAGGATGATTATTGTAAATCTTTGAAATTTGTAAAACTCTTTTACGGAACAGAAAATATTCATTTTTTAATTGAATTAATTCAAGAAAAGGAAGGCAAGGAATAGTTTGAGGACTTTCCTACAAGAAAAATAAAAAGCCCTGGTTTTGGAGATTCACAAAATTCAAACGAGAATCAGTTGTGTGGGTCAATAGGGCCAGAGAAGATCATGTGATTATATAGCCAGTTCACTACAATGAATTCACATAATCCAGTGGGAGAAACCCCAACTTTACACCCTCACGTAGACGAAGAGAAATATTCAATAAAAATTACGTATTTTTCCCGTAATTCCGGAGCGAAATGTGGATGTAGGAAATTTTTCGGAACTGTCACGGAATTTTTCCAGAGCGTTCCGTAATTTTTATATGAATGTCCTGTGAAAAATTACGATACCGTCACTTAAATTTTCTGAGTCGATTCCGTAATCGGTGAGCGAATTGTGAGTTCCATAATTTTTACTGAACATTTATTCTCTCCGTGTATCGACTCATGCGAATGTGAACGCTTGTTTTCCAAATTGATTATTTCCAAATCTACGAAGAATAACTTGACCAGACAAACGAAATTGGAAACCGGAAGACTGCACTGAGAAAAAATTACTTTTGCCAAGAAAACATTTTCAAGGGAGAATGAATTTTTTAGGAGCGCATTTCTCTAGACCATAGTCATTCTCAGATGGTCCATTTTTATATTCAAATATTCCAATTATGGTGAATTATGAGATGATATGCTACATATGACTTGAATGAACACCTTTCATTATTTTTTAATTTTTTCAAATTTGAGATTTTCTCACGTAAAATAATTTAGAGTAATTCTAAATGTTCATAATTGTCAATGGAGTTCGTTCAGGATCACATGTAGAATAATCATTCCCTTATTCAACTCAATAACTGGCTTGGCAAAATCCGCAAAAAAAAATTACAAACAAAATTGGAAACCGGAATACTGCACTGAGCAAAAATTACTTTTATCAAGAAAACATTTTCAAGGGAGAATTAATTTTTTTAGGAGTGCATTTCTCTAGACCAGTAATTCTCAGGTGGTCCATGTTCATCTTCAAATATTACAATTATGTTGAATTATGAGATGATATGCTACATATCAGTAGCGAAGCGGTAAACCGGGTTAAGTCGGTTTTGACTTTTGGCCAGTTTTTTATGAATATCTCAGAATCTAAGAGAGATGGCAAAATTTTTCTCATAACCCTTTTTATAACCCTCACTTGACTCTACAAAAAAGGTCATGACAAGAATTTTTCTATCTCTTTTAGATTCCGAGATAGTCGTCAAAAACTGGCCAATAGTCAAAATCGACTTAACCCGTTTTACCGCTTCGCTACTCATATGACTTGGAATGAACGCCCTTCATTATTTTACCATTTTTTCAAATTTGAGAATAATTCTAAACGATAATAATTGTCAATGGAGTTCGTTCGGGATCACATCTAGCATAATCATCCCGTAATTCAACATGCTTGTAATATTTGGAGATGGACTTGGACCACCTGGGAATGACCGGCTTGGAGAAATACGCTCCTTAAAAAAATGAATTCTTCTCCCAAGAAAATGATTCCTTGGCAAAAGTAATTTTTTTTCTCAGTGTGTAGCTTCAATTAGATACCGGTTTCATAATTTTCCATTCATTAGAAACAATCGAAATCGAATCGTATTGAGTACACACTATGCCGTCCGTGAGGGGTTAATCCTATTTTCTTCGAGTGATCCAGATTTAATGATCAATGGAAAAAACTACTGGAAAAATTGGCGAAATGGATCCAATTTCCAGTTAGCATGAGTCCAACGCTCATCTGTTTGGACCCGAATGTCGTAACAGCAATGAGTGACTTTTTGAAAGAGTGTGATCTAAATATATTATTATTATTATTATTATTATTATTATTAAAGTTCTATCATTTAGTATTTGAAGATGAAATTCAGATGTATTCGCTAATAAACCCGGCATACACTGAGAAAAAAAAATTAAATATCTGAAACATATTTTCTTGAGATAAGTAATTTTTCTTCAATTGTTTAATTCTCCCAGCCATCTCAACTCACGTGGCCCGAGAAAGGTCTCACGCTTTAAAATATCCTTATACTCAAGTATGATTTTATCGTAAATGAACTCACTCAAATCGCGTAGAAGAACCGTCAATCTTCCAGTATTTATTGTTTTCATGATTTTTTTGTTATGCATTTGCAAGATTTCGATACGTTATGTATTCATGATATAATGCCCAACGATAGTGAGAAATGAGAATTCATTCGAGTTCCGTGAACCGCAAGCATTCTGAGATTTAAACCACTGAAAACAATTTACTTCTCTCAAGTAAAGATGGTCTACATATTAGAAAAATTTTCTCTCAGTGTAGGGATTCTAAAACATTAATAAAATAAAAACAAAAATGAAAAATTAAATTAATTAAACCTGTTGACGACCGATTATCCGCAGTTGGACAATTAGCTGAAGTTGAAATTGAAGTTCAAGAGGATCTGCAACATGTGATGGATCGAAACGTAGACTTCCTCATTATTTGAAATTTATCTTTGACATTTCTCCAACCTCCACTGGGCACAAGACCGATTAACTTCACCTGATAATTCATTTTTTCGTCCAATGAAAATAAAAATCTTGAAGTTTGAAGCATTGATGAGGTCAGCGATTTGTGAGCTACGAATCATGAACTCACCATCTCTGCTTCATGTCTATCTTCGTACCAACTTTAACTCCCCCTTTTTGTTACCCACCCCCCTCCCATGCATATGAGACCATTTATATATTCCGTTCAAAATATATACCGGAGAGTAATCGTCTACATCAAGCTCGTGGGTTCCCATGGATACGATGTCCTCCACGAGGATGACCAATCGGCGTTGTTCGGTGTACCTCCCACTCTGGGATTACCGCTGAGTTTCGCGCGCCTTACACCACGCGCTCTCCCACCTACGTCTCGCAGCACCATTGGTGGCTAGCGTGTGTGTGCCACTCTCTCCTCGACTCGGCAAACCTCCGACGTCGCGTGAATCTGCCGATTACTGCGGTTAGATACGTGTGTAGATTGCACCTCGGTTGGTTTTTTTCTGGTGAAGAAAAATGTTGGGGGACGGGAAAGAGGTGGCAGGGGGGAGCGTTAATTATGAAGGTGTTGTGAATTCATTTTGCAATTGAGTTATTTGGAAATGAGGAGAAAACATTCCTTCGGTTTCAGAAATTTACTTTTCATCATTCATTCGATTATGTTCAATTGAAATGGTTCTGTAGTGACAAGTTGACACGGAAAAAAGAAATACTTGAATTGAGTATATTTTATACCAGAATCAAGTATATGCATAAAGTTGAGTCAAGTATATTTAGTACTCGAATGGGGGATGGGTGTTTCCATTCGAGGATGATTATTTCGTATCAGCCCGGGTTGTATCAAGCGTTCTCAAGTTTATTATAAGGGTCAGACACTAAGTGTGAGAAGATAAGGGTCAAGAAGTGGAGGGTAAAAAATGAGGGTCGGAATATTAAAATCAAAAATTGAGGGGCTGAATGCAAAGATGAAGGAATGAGGGTCAGAATATTAGGATAAAAAAATTAGGGTTAGAATATAAC